ACACATCCAGAGCTGAAGAGATCGCCCGCTAGCTTTTGCTACGTGGCACAAGGCGACAACGGGATCAAGAGGCCAGAGGAGCTGCTGCGTTGCCACCCTGCCGCCGTGCCTGACCAGCCAAATGCGACCTCACCACCTTGCCTGGACCCCTGATCAGCCTGCTGCCAGAGCTGACCACAGAGCAGGACCAGGCCTCTCAGCAGGGGACCTCTCCAACTTCTTGCCATCTACCTGGCAACTTTAAGCCGACTGCCCACGACTTCCTGCCTGTAAGTGACTGATCTGAGATCCGTCTCTGCCTAGACATGGAGCTCTGAACCTTGAACACTGACACTCTTTTTCGTGACGGTGGTACGAGCCTTGAAAAACGCAGCTTTTACAAATAATGTTAGTCATGTGTAATATAATATAACTATGCTTCGACCCTATGTTTTGACCCCATGCAAGGTATCTGCAAATAATGCTGGAGACTTTGATGTACATATACTATTATAATTGGATAGCCCTCAAAATTACTTTAACACTGTATACTGTGATCTGTGGATTAATGAATAAGTTCAAGTGGTATCATTGATATTGATATTAATGGTATTGATTCCAGTAGTCCTCTAGTCATTAAGGAAATAGTGTTACTCTGAGAGTTAAGTATTATAGTAAGTAAGTTAAGTAGAAGATAAGTAGTTATGTTAAGCTAAGTAGTTACGTTAAGCTAAGTAGCTAAGTTAAGTAGATAAATCATGATTAAGTAGTGGTGTTAAGTTTATTGATAAGTGTATTAAATAGTATAGATTGATAAGTATATTGATACTGATAAGTGTATTGACTTCAATGAGCATGCTGATGAACAGTATGATAAAAAAAAAAAAGCCTAGTGTATAAGCAATAAAATCTCTCATTGGAAAATCTTGTGTCCTGGTGTTTCTATCTTCTTCACGACTGACAAGTCGTACGTCACATTTGCTACTGTCAAGCTGCATGACAGTAGGCGCTCCCGACAGCATTTCACTGTTTATATGAATAATATTTACTAATGACAGACCCTGAGCCTCATCAACAGAGCTCTGTACACTATGTGTTTATCGTAGATCAATAAGTTAATGATACATTATAGAACCAAATAACAGACAAATAATAACAGTTAAGATAATTGATAATTAGTATGTTAGCATATAAACTAATACTATGCGTCTTTCCAGAAAACAAAGCAATGAAGTTTTATTACCAACCCTCTCTCCTTTCAAACACAAAAAATCTACTTTTCCCTGAGACTTCTTTTTTAAATAGTATTTTATAAAATAGGGGCATGGTTGTGGTGGAACAGGCAGGGCCACCTCCTGCAAAGCCAGCATCTCATGTGGGTGCTGGTTTGTGTCCTGGCTGCTCCAGTTCTGATCCAGCTCCCTGCTAATGGTGCGGGAAAAGCAGCAGAAGATTGCCAAAGAGTGTGGGGCCGGTGGATGTATAAGGTCCCGGGTTTTGGCACCAATGTAAGACCGCCACAAAACACAACAGACACTGGAGTAAGGAAAAGGGTTTGCTGGGGAAAACCCAGCAGATTGGAGGGAAGGGGCAAAGAAGGAAAAAGAGAGAGAAAGAGAGTGTAAGAGAGTGAGAGACAGAGAGGAGAGGAGCTAGTGAGGAGAGAAGAGAGAGAAAGGAGCTGAGAGAGAGGGAGAGAAGAGAGTGGAGAGAGGGGATCGAGAGAAGCCAAGAGAAAGCAGAGAGAGCTAGAGGGAGAGAGCTAGAGAGAGAGAGCTAGAGAGAGAGCCACATGTTCAGGAACAGGAAACTTTTAAAACTTTGCCAGAGGGCAGGCAGGGAAGCAGGAGCAGCGAATGGCAGAAATCCAGGACCCCAGAATGGTAGCTTTGGGATCTGCAGAGAGAAGGCCTACACTTCCGGGAATGGAGAGTCTCTGCCTGTACTTCCGGGGAAGAAAAGTCTTTGTCAAGGTCCCCATGGGTGTGTAAAGGCCAACCAATGAGGGTCAGACCCACCTCAACCTTTAACCTCCATGCCCTGAATCTATAAAAGGAGCTCTCTCAACCTCTGACGCATAACTTCCCTGGCCCCCAACTCTGTTTGGACATAGGAACCTCGCCTGGGAGTGGAATCCCAATAAAAGCTTGTGAATTTATCTGCCTGGGAAGATTTGTTACACGCTGGACACCTTTCACAGAGCAGCTCAGAGATCCCCAGAGGGAGAGCAAAGTCACTGGGGGAGGCCTGGATCTGAGTCACAGCACCAGTGTAAGGCCGCCACAAAACACACCAGACACCTGAGTAAGGGCAAGGGTTTATTGGAGAAAACCCAGCAGGCTGGAGGGAAGGGGCGAAGAAGGAAAAAGAGAAAGGAGAGTGTAAGAGAGTGAGAGACAGAGAGGAGAGGAGCTAGTGAGAAGAGAGAGCAGAGAGGAGCCGAGAGAGAAGGAGAGGAGAGAGGGGAATGAGAGAGAAGCAAAAAGAGAGCAGAGAGACAGAGAGAGAGAGAGAGAGCGAGCGAGCTGGAGAGAGAGCCAAGTGTTCAGGAACAGGAAACTTTTAAAACTTTGCCAGAGAGGGACAGGGAAGCAGGAGCAGCGAATGGCATTAGGATGGGGGTGGAGCTTGACACCGGTGGTTGGGCCATGTGGCCACCTGGCTTCCAGCAATGGCGGAATAGAGCCTAGGATGGTGTCAGGGTGTAGATCATGCCATAGATAAAATTGCGCCATTTTCCTAACAGGATGGAAGATCTCTCCCTGCACCCCCACCCCCGTAACTCTGCCTTTCAAGTAAATAAATACATCTTTTAAAAATAGCTCCTGGATCTAGGAAGTTTGCTGATCTGCAAAACTGAAAGAGAATATTATACTGTTATACCCAACTTAATGTACCTTAGAGTATCCTTGGCCTAACTTATCTTTATCTTTTGTGTTCTTCTAGCTAAGAAAAGATGATTGTTTTATTCATTTTTGAATGATTGATGGCAAGACTTGGTTGCTGTTTATGCAAAAGTGTTACTCAGGCTTTAATTTAGACAATAAGCTATGCCTCAGAGAGGAACGAAGTGGGACCCTTAAAAATCATGATGCATTTAGAAAAGAATAATTGTAATCCAAGACATTTGCATCTGGCTTACAAGAACCATGTACTGTAAAGTCTACTTTTACATGGGAGATGCATGAAATTCATCTGTAATAGAATCTCATAAGTTTTGAAAAATGTTATCTTCATTTCCGTGTTCAATTTGTACATTAAGACAAGAGATAAATTCGATAAATAGTTGACATCACTGAATCTTGTACAAATAGTGGGAAAAAAACAATATGTAAAAATGTCAGGATTCTGGCCTCTCTCTCACTCTTCTTTTTTCTACCACTACCCTCAGTGGCATTTGAGATATTTCTATTTAAATGGTAGAATGGCTGGGAGGGGGCTGGTGCAATGCCACTAGAATCCTGCCTCGGAGCATCCCTGGTAATGCAGGAACACTGGCTGGATGCTGCGAATCTCTTCCCCCACCCCTTCTTTTTCTGTCACTTTGCCTTTTTTTTTTTTTTTTTTTGGACAGGCAGAGTGGACAGTGAGAGAGAGAGACAGAGAGAAAGGTCTTCCTTTGCCGTTGGTTCACCTTCCAATGGCCGCCGCGGCCAGCACGCTGCAGCCGGCACATCGTGCTGATCCGAAGCCAGGAGCCAGGTGCTTTTCCTGGTCTCCCATGCGGGTGCAGGGCCCAAGTACTTGGACCATCCTCCACTGCACTCCCTGGCCATAGCAGAGAGCTGGCCTGGAAGAGGGGCAACGGGGACAGAATCCGGCACCCCGACCGGGACTAGAACCCGGTGTGCAGGCGCCGCAAGGTGGAGGATTAGCCTGTTAAGCCACGGGCGCTGGCGGCATTTTGCCTTTCAAACAAATAAAGAGGGATCTAAAAAAAAGTAGGATGGAAGTCTTAGGTAGACTGAAAAATAATTTGAGTCTTTTTCCCATTTCTTGCATTGAAAAGTAGTTTCCTGGCTTCTATTTTTAACCAAATTTATATTGGGGACAAAAGGCAATGATATGTACAGTATCAAGAAGTAGGGGTGCACCATATGTTTTGGAACAGATGAATATTTTAGTATGTCTAAAACTGTACTGCCTACATATGGCTGTTTAAATTAATTAAATTAAAATAAAATTTAAAAATTCACTTTGCTACTCATGCTAGTACTTTAAGTGCTCATTGTATACATATGGTTACTGACTACCTTTTTCTATCGAATGTAAGGCATAGATTTTTAAATCTAATCTATTTTGATAAATTAAAACTGAACTATTGCTTCCCTTCTTCATTCACACGGAGTCACACTTCTTTGTTCTCTACTTTCATGAATCTCTTTCCTTTCTTCCAAATTCTCACCACAATTTATACATTCATTATCAGTAACCAAACCTTCACTGCTTTAGGCACCATTAGAGAAAGTACCATCACAGCAAAATATTCATTAAATAGGTTCCAATGAATGAATAGATGGGATGGTAGGGTAGATTAAAAAGTCAGCAAAATATCACACTGGATGTGCAAGCTATAGAAGAACTTAAGCCAGGATGAGATAGCACAATTTTATTTTTAAGTGAAGCTGTATAAACCCCAATCAAATGGCTTGTTGCCCTGCCTACAAACCCAACCGGGGTGGCATGTTCTTTCTAGAATCATGCCATTTTAGCATCTTGCTTGTTCATTTTCTGGAGACAGATTTGTGTGTGCATGTCCTTACCTCTTTCCTCCTCTCTGTAGACACAGTTTCTTCAATAGTATTTGAAAAAAAATTGATGTGAAATCTTGTTAAGAATTCATACCGAGATTAGAGAAGACACTTCAAAAGAGACATTTGACGATGCTTATCTAATATGCCCTAAAGATAATCTTATAAACTTCCCACCTAGGAATGAAACTACACTTATTATATTCCTTAATAAAGCAATAATTTTCCTTTTGTCCCAATGACAGAATGTTCTTTGTTTTTAACTTTCAGATATGACATGAATTATCTGAATTTATGAAGTTACAAAGTTGCAAGTAACTCCTCAAAACACTTTATTTCTATCTCACAAGGAAAAGAAGAAGAAGAAAGAAAACCTCCAGCTTGAACAGACTATTTCCCAGTTGGTAAGCAGTACAACTGTCATTTGTTTTTATTTGATGAGATAAGATGGATGGGAAAGTACTTACCTGCTAATTGAAAAATATTAATGCTGAAAAATTCATTTGTCCAAAGCTTATGACAAATATGTTACCCACTATAAATGAAATAGAATCAGAGCTAACCATCCTTTTCTACTAATAATTTCACTTAACAGAAACATTCTTTAGCAATTACTCTGAAGCCAAGGCAATGGGTCTATCAAATAGCATGGTTCTAGAGTGATCAAAAAGGCTTGTGTAAGACATTTTTTCATAAACCTCTGTTTTTCTCGTAACTTTTGCATTCCTCAGTTTCTCTCATGTTAAACAGCATGGCAAGCAAATGACATCACACTATTCAGGGCTGAGTAGTAAGTAATCAGCGTGCTGTGAGACAGATGACATTTTACTAAGGACATTAAATGCACATTTCTCTTGGAATTCATCGTGTACAATATGATTAAGATAGCTGAGGGGATAAATGCTGGCAAAATGTTGTTCTCGTGAGATATTAAGGAAGAAAAGGTTATCATTTTTCTTTCTGGTGACTATGTAGCTATCACATAGACTTTTCTACCTTTTTGTCATCTTTTTGGTGTATTATAGAATAAAACACTTGAAAATGAATGAGTTACAAATTAGACATGTGTTTTGTACCCTTCTCAGTATTAAGTGCTTATGAGGAATCTGATCCTATAAGAAACAGTCTGCATAATGAGGAAGAATTTCTTTGTTCTGTAAATTAGTAGATGAATTTCAGTTATGATGAGCCTGAAAAAATAATGATTAATTGTAACCACATTTTCATTTGCTGAAGAAAATTGTGACCCTATGCCTTTGAACCTAAGTCTTTTTTTCTCAATATAGGCTCATAATAAGGCATTGTTTTCTTTTAATTTGAAGTTAATGCATGAAAATCACAAAGCTAAAATGGACATGAAGCTACTTTTGCTTTTAAATATATCATCATTTGGGAGTTCTGTTAATTCTGGAAAATAGAGATTATTTAAGTGAGAAATATAATAGACAAAGGTAAAAACGTATGTTCAAGATTGGATTAAAAAAACAGGAAGATTGGGGCCAGTGTTGAGGCTTAGTGGGTTAAGCTGTCACATCCTATATGAGTCTGGATTCTAGTCCCTGCTGCTCCATTTCTGATTCAGCTCCCTGCTGTTGTACCTGGAAAAGCAGGGGAAGGTGGCCCAACTGCTTGGGCCCCTGCTACCTATGTGGGAGACTTGGGTGGAGTTCCAGGATTCTGGCTTTGGCCTGGTCCAGTCCCAGCCATTGGGGCCATTTAAGGAGAGAACTACCTGATGGAAGATCTCTCTCTCACTCTGATTCTCTCTCTCTATCTGTCTCTTTCTTTCCCTCCCTCTCTGTAACTCTGCTTTTCAAATCAATAAACATCTTTAAAAAAAAAAAAAAAAGCACAGGAAGATTTAGAAGGATTTGGATGCGTTTTTAGTTTTCCCTTTTGATTTAGATAAGTTATAAAAGTGCTACTTTGATATTGTCATTGAATATGTGTGTTGATTAAGTAAGAGAAACTCTCTGGCATTATGGGTATGATGAAGAACAGGATATACTGCGTGGTCTTCCCTCTGTGACAAACATATAAACAGAATGCTTAAAAACCACTGTGTAGGATAACAGTGATTCAGGACTCCCTGAAAGACTCAGATGAGGGTATGATTAAATACATCTGGGGCCAGTGCCACGGCTCAACAGGCTAATCCTCCGCCTAGCGGTGCCAGGACACTGGGTTCTAGTCCTGGTCGGGGCACTGGATTCTGTCCCGGTTGGGGCACTGGATTCTGTCCCGGTTGCCCCTCTTCCAGGCCAGCTCTCTGCTGTGGCCAGGGAGTGCAGTGGAGGATGGCCCAAGTGCTTGGGCCCTGCACCCCATGGGAGACCAGGAGAAGCATCTGGCTCCTGCCTTCGGATAGGCTCGGTGTGCCAGCCGGCTGCGGCCGCGGCGGCCGTTGGAGGGTGAACCAAAGGCAAAGGAAGACCTTTCTCTCTGTCTCTCTCTCTCTCACTGTCCACTCTGCCTGTCAAAAAAAAAAAAAAAATACATCTGGGATGCACTTGATTGTTCCTAAAGGAGATATAGAAATCTCCTGTTATCTGCAGAGGACACTTTCCAAGACCTCCAGTGGATGCCCAAAATTGCAGATAGCCCTGAACTCTATCTGTACTAGATATATTATGTTTACACCAGTACATGCCAATGATAAAGTTTAATTTGCTGTTTTGGGATAGTGAGGGATTAATAAAAAATGAATAATTATAAAATAAAAGAAAGTTAACAATGTACTGTGATAGCATTATGTGAATAGGCCTTCTCTGTTTCTGTCTCTGTGTCTTTGAATACCTTAATTCCTCATTGCACTATAGTTGTATTTTCAGGCCCTAGTCAGTCACAGGTAACTGAAACCTTTGAAAGTAAAACTGTGGGTAAGGAGATAACTGCTATAATCAAATCAGAATTATTAGTATTGAAGGAAGGATTGATATACTGCTTTTATATGCTAATAGGTTATGACACTGAGTGCTTTTCTTTGTTTCATTTAATTAGAACAAAAAATACATATGTTTCTAGATACAACCTTAGCCTAGTGAGCATTCAAATGCCATCATGTGATGTGTCCAAAATAGTCTGCAGGCTTTTGTGTTCAGTAAAATAAATGCTAAAACACACACAAAAAAGGGTCTTTTTTTTGTATTGTAAATAATGAGTCACTTATCATGTAGGGAAGGTTCAATGCAGAATCCCTTAGCTTTCATCAGTGGCAAATCTACAGGATAATGTAACCAAAAAGTCATAAAGTTGAATTGTTTGGCTATTAGCACAAACTGTAGCTATAATCTACCTATAAAGACCATTTAATTAATTCAGTCAACAGCTGCCTTAAAAACAGTGAAAATTAAGCCAAGTTTGACCAAGAACTTGTAACGTCATTCAGTTAGTAAACTATTGAAAACCAATGGGGAAAAAAGCACTTTCTGTGTACTTGTTTTTAAATATTCATGCTATTGAACCATTCCCACTCAATGCATAAATGACAACATAATATTCAACTGTAACAGTTGGTAGAAGCCATTTTAAGTAGCAGTTTAACAAACAGAGATGAATTTTAATTTATAATGCCAGTTGAGCTGTAATAAAAACTAGTATTCCAGCTGTGAAAAAAAAATATCACACAGCTTGGTTTAAAGTTATTTACAGTTTTTTTTTTCACTTTACAGTACAATGAAACCATCTTGTTTCTATCCACACCAGAAGTTTGTTAAATCCCAAAATATGTTTTAGGAATGAGAAAAGGCATGCCTCTTCAGGGAAATAAAAAATATCTTTGTTGTATTAGATTACAGTGTTCAATTCAGTGAGTAACTTTGTACTATTTCAGAAATTGTGAAGGTGACTTTAGAACAAATGGAAAATCTGTGTTGTTATTTTTGAAATTAATGAAAACGGATATTTTCAAACATTTGGGTTCGCAAAAATGTATCAATCAATGCTTACTTCCTGGGTTGATATTTTGTTAATAAAATATCAACATGGCATTTTTTTAAAGATTTATTTATTTATTTCTATGAAAGGCAGGGTTATGAGAGGCAGAGGCAGAGAGAGAGAGAGAGAGGTCTTCTATCCACTGGTTCACTCCACAAGTGGCCACAATGGCCGGAGTTGTGCCGATCTGAAGCCAGGTGACTGGAGCTTCTTCCAGGTTTCCCACATGCTTGCAGGGACCTAAGGACTTGGGCCACCTTCTACTGCTTTCCCAGGCCATAGCAGAGAGCTTAATTGGAAGTGAAGCAGCCGGGATTTGAACCGGTGCCCATATGGGATGCTGGCACTGCGGGCAGTGGCTTTACCTACTACACCACAGTGCCAGCCCCATTATTTGCATTCTTGATTGTAACTAGTAAATAATTCCAATCTAGAAAATTCTGTAGACCTAATACCATAGTCCCAAATGGATAGTGAGTAGGTTTCCAACCTACCATTGTATTTTACTTTGATTTTAAAATTTATTCTGCCACTTGAAAAATCACAAGATTGTAAAAGCGATGCTGGGAATAAAATATATAACATGAAAAACCAGGAGGAGGAGCCCTTCCCTGCCTGATGAGGATGATGGGTTTTCAGGAGAGATGCTTCATGAGGAATGGAAAACTGTGAGACATGGCTGCTAAATGAAGGACCCCATGTTTTATAAGGACAAGGCTTCCATTGGCCTGCTGGTAGAGCTCCAGAAAGGAGAGATGAAGTGGGATGGGGCTTGGGTAAAAAGCAAGAGAGAGATAGAGACAGAGACAGAGCTAAGTGTGTATGCTGGTCAGAATAAGGGAGGCTGGCAGGTTAAGGAAATGGAATATTTAGGTGGTTTTGCTTTGTGTGTCATGTGTACTATCACCTCCCTGCTACACAATTTTATATTAATAAACATTACTTTTGAAATTGGTTATGTGGACTTTGGAAATGAAAATATTCTGAAGCTTGTTTTAGGGAAGATACAATGGAGAGCTGGGATCAGCCAAGTTATTAAATTTCTATTTATCTTTGTGTTATTGCAAAGATGTAAACATTTACCATTTTTATGTAGAAGAATATATATAAACTTGATGATGATTTAGTCAAATACCATCAAACCTCCCTTTACCATGGTGTGTTCAATGATCAAAGTAAAGAACAACGAGTTTTATTTTCCTTTGATATTGACCTCTTACACAAAAAGATTTTCTCTAAACAGTTTTTGCTTTTGCTTTATATTACTATTATTGTTATCATGATTTTAATAAAGGGGCTTAGGACCATGAACCCCACTCAGATTTCCAGACATGACTAACTGGGTTTTACTTGGCTTGAAAATCCGACATTGTAATGGGTGCCACTCTTGCTGCACTTCAGATCGCTTAATTTCTCCAAATAGTGTCAGGGACAAGTCTCTGGGGAGAGCACAGCCATGCAAGGAAAG